CTTCAAAAAATAGTCATATTAAAAAGTAGACTCACTTTTCTCTCTCCTCATAAATGTATTAGAGTACTATCTTTAAGATTAGTGGGACCAACAAGGGTAAAAGAAGAATTGTACCTTTAAATACTTACCATATAAGGAAATGTGACATTCTTTTTGGGACTAACCAAAAAAGAAATGGTGCCACATAAAATGGGACGGACCGAGTAGCATTTATTAAGCTAGAAAGTGACATCTACCTAAATTGTTTCATATGATAGGACGTACGTTAATTTAAATTCATGTCGTGCAATATTTATTAAGGTAGAAAATGACATCTACCTAAATTATTTCATATTCGACACATTTAACTAAGCATGAATGTATCTTATTCATCATGCTACAACCCTTTATGAGTTATTTTGATTTATTGTTATTTCTTATTTCAATAAGGGATGATTTTTTCATCGAGATGTTGAACTTTATTGTTGGCTACCTTGACAATTATCGGTAGTGAATTTTTTTAATTAAGGAATTTAAAAATATGAAGAAAATACAAGAAAAAATCCATTGGGATTCAATATCTAAATGGTGTAAGTTTCCAACGATGAATACCCTTGCCTCTATTTGGCTCCACTCCTGATTAATGATCCTCTAAATCATGTTATACTGTCGGTGATTGTTTGGATAAGAATTTCTTTTTTAAAATAAAATAAAATTGTGCTTTTGGTACTTGGAATTTTCATAACTATATAAGTTATTAATCTTGTAGTGTAAAATTAAGTTTTGAGACTAACTCACATCACAAAAGTTAGCTCATAGAGAGCAGGATTATCCAAGCCTTATTAATAAAGGGGTCGTTTGGTACAAAAATGAATAACGCAGAGATTAGTAATGCAAGGATTAGTAATGCAGGAATTAGAAATGCATGGTTTATTTTTATCAAGTATTTGGTTCATTGTTTCCAACCTCGTCTTGTGTTTGGATTAAAACTCTTTAAAAATCTTCTTTCCAATTATACCCTTGAATTATTATGTAATTGGGTCAAGATAGATAATTGCCGGAAAATATATTTTTTTATGACCTTCTAACTAGTTATGAGAAGAACAATTTTGTTGTCATGTTTCCAATTTTCTACTTGAATTACTAGAGGATAAATCATTTTCATCTTAATAAATTGATCACTCACAAAATGTCAATTTTCAATTTAAAAAAGATAAACCATCTACTTTTAAAATTAAAAAGACTGTCAACAATGGTAAAATTGAATAAATCATCTACATTTACACATAAAAATTGCAAGTTCTAGTTTTAATGTGTATGTAATTTTTTAAATTGTTCAAAATACAAATAATTAGTGATATATTTGCCTTTTAATTAGTAATTTTTAAATAACTCACATTTCAAATTTGTATTGGATATATTTAGTAACAAACAACTCTCTCTAAATAATTTGTAAGCTAATTTGTTTAAATAAATTTACTAGTACAAATACAAAACATAAAATCAAGAAAATGAACAACATAATTAAAATGATTTGAGGGATATTTTTGTCTTTATATAGACTTATCCCATGGTATTATATCCTATGTATTAGTAATACCTCCAAATGGAAGGTATTAGTAATACATCCTATAATACCATGTAGGATGTATAACTAATCCATGGATTAGTTATACATAGGCTCAAATTCCTACCAAACATAGCACTAATAATACCATACATAATACATGGACTATTTCTTTTAATACGGCCTACCAAACGACCCCAAAGAGTCTACCATCTCATTAACTATCATGTGGGACTTTTGTCATATTCTTCAACACTCCACCTCAAGTCCAATATAGAATGAGATGGATCCTGTTTTGATACCATGTAAAATTAGGTCTTGGGTCTAACTTACACCCCAAAAGCAAGCTCAAAGAGAGGAGGATTGTCCAAACCTTATAAGAAGTTCATCCATCACATTAATCATTAATGTGAGACTTTTTTTACCGTCTTCGACACACCATCTCGCGCCTAATATTGGATGAGATGGGTCATGGTCTAATACCATGTAAAAAATTAGGTTTTGGGCCTAACTTACACCAAAAGTTAGCTTAAAGAGAGAAAAAATGTCTAAGCATTATAATGAGTCCACACCACATTAATAATTAATGCGGGACTTTTGTCATTCTTCATTAGTAAGGAAACTAGAGAAGCTGTACAAAAAAAGGAAGGAAGACTTACACATAGCGTTGATTGGCCTAGAAAAGACTTACGAAAAAGTCTCAAACAATGTCTTTTGGAGATGCTTGGAGGCTATAGGCGTCCAAGTGGCATACACTAGGGTGATTAAGGACATGTAAAATAGAGTCAAGACTTGAGTAAAAACAATGGAAGCGGGAGGAGATTTGGAGCAACTACCAGTTATGAAGGATTTGTATGAGAGATTAGCTCTTAACCCTTTTTTATTTGTCTTAGTAAGGGATGAATTGACATGGAATATCAAAGAAGAGGTGTCATGGTTTATGTTATTTGCGCATGACATAATTATATTGGCGAGGCTCGCGGAGGAGTTAATGTTAGGCTGAAAGTTTGGAGATAGACCTTGGAGTCTAAGGAATTTAGATTGAGCAGACCAAAATAGAACATTTGGAGGGAAAGTTTAGCGACGTAATACTGAGGCCGACGTGGAAATGAGGCTTGATACAACGTTATACTTATTTACATAACCCATAAAGATGTCCCGTCCACTACTGTAACTACTCCATCCGTTTCATATTATTTGGCTTTATACAAAAAAATAAATATTTTATTGTATTTGTCTGATTTAAAAATCAAGAGAAATTTATAATTTATTTTCTCTTATTGTCTTTATTATTAAATGACTACATAAAGTATTATCAGTCAAATGTAAATTTTCAAAGTATAGTTATAAGATTAATTTAATAAACTAAACTTCTAATAAATACTTTCTTTAAAAAAATATCAAATCAACATGAATCAAGTAAAATGAAACGAATAACATATAAACTTAGCTAGACAGATATAAAAAGGAGTAAAATGTAGTTTATAATGATAATTTATTTATTTATTTTTTAAAAAAGGAGTATATCAAGATGGCTCAAACTTCTTTTCAAGTGTCACTTTTTTATAAAGACAAAATTAGAATAAATATTGAATATTTGAATAATGAGTACACAAAAACTTGATCGCAAAGAAGACTGGAATAGTTCTGCAGTCTGAAAATTAAATTTTAAGTTTGTAGAGTTGATTTTAGTGTAAGATCTGAATTTCTTTTTTAAATTGTGTCAATTAAATAAATTTAAATTTATTTAAACTACATTATTTTTATATATTTGTATGATAGTAAATTATCTCATTAAGTGTAAATGAATACTTAAAGACCATGTTCCTTTCTCCCTACCTTCTTAGATAGAATGAGTATACTAAGTATAATTAGTGATCTCCGTAATTTCAAATTTCTATTAAGATTAATTTTATTTCTTTTCTAAAAATAATTGTGCAGATGTTTGTATAGTGACAGAGCTAAAAGAAAGAGGATGACCAAAAGCAAGTAAACAAAAGATAAGAAGAATTTAACAAAGGGAAATAAAAATTATTAAAGAAAGAAGTCCACAAGAAATCGGAAGAGACCATGAATGACATAATACCTCAAAACTTGGAGTATGACATAGTGACTTAAAATATTATCAAGTGCCAAAATTCTCTATACGTAATCCTATAACATGTTTTTATTTATTTATTTATTTTAAAAATAATTATATTTGATATTTATTTTAAGACTCAATTCATTTTTATTCATGTCAGAAATTTTTTATTTTAACTTTAAATAAAATTCAATTCTGATTAAGAATGAAAAAAATTGATAGAAATATAGTAAATATTGAGATTTGAGAGGTAATGTGTGTCAAATAAATTTAAATGAAATTAATTTGTAAGTGTTGTTGAAAGTAATTAATATTGGTTATAAATAAAAGTTAAGCCATAAGAGTTTAAATAAGTGAAAACTGAGTATATATTTATAAGATTACCTTAGCTTAGTAATGATAATTTTGGTATCTAGAAAAAAGAAACTAAGCATTAAAATTCTCCGCTTTCTCATTTTGGAAGTTTTTAATTCGATATTTGATTTTTATATTAAGATGGAACCTCATTAAATTCGAGATTCCATCATAATAAACCTAACTCCATAATTCATATTCAAGATTTATATTTTAAAAATAAAATAAAATTATTATTTTATCATAATTCTTATTCAATTTTTTCAGAATATAATTTATATACATATAAATATTTATAAATTTTTTTCAATTATGAATTTCAAATTTCATACAAAATTATATGGAATGAAGTAGACCACAGTACCTATAATTGCAATATTTCTTCAAATTTGTAGGTCAGAACAATTAAAATAAAAGAAGTAAGAAACTATTTTGTTCCAGCAGAAATAAAAATATCAGATAATCTTTCTATATATTTTAATTTTGGCGGAAAAAATAATTAAATATATATTATTGGTAAGAGATGATAACTTCACATGTATCTTATAAAAAAATTAAAAACTTTAAAACTTTTTTTTTATATAATTTTAATTAGTTATCTCACATCTTTTTAGTTTGTTTAAAAAAAAGAACGTTTTTTTTTTTTAGTTCTAACTTTTCACATATATATCATATTTGGAACAATAATATTTAGTATACTTTACATATCTTTAGTTTAAGACCATAGAATTATCTTTTAGACTTTCTTAAATATTTTAAATAAAGTTAAAATCAGACAAATAAATTGAACGAGTGGAGGTGAAGACATGTGTCAAGCAAGGAGGTTGTACTAGTACACCTGTTAGCTCCATTGTGAGACAGATAAACTTTGATACCCACAATAAATTACACGTACGTGCCTGTATGTAAATGTAAATAAAAAGAGGCAAATTCTCTTATATTTTTTGTTTTCTTTATGTCTTTTGCAAGGTTTGGTTTCTTTGATAATTTGAAGAATTTTTCAAAAGTAGAGACAAGTGACAAAATCTTGAAAATGAAGGTTTGTTCTAGTTCTTTATAACTTTTATAATTTAATTTAATTTTTCAATATGTTAACAAAACATCTCTAAAATGTATATTTTTTGTGTATTATATGCATGCCTAGTTTTTACTTAGTGAAAATAGTTTCTCCCTTTGTTTTAATTAATTTATATATCTTGACTTATTTTGATTTGACTGGGAAGATTTTTGAGTCTTGTGACAAATTAAAACTGAAAATATTTTAAATATATTAAATATCTCTAATTTTTGTTCTTAACTATACTATTTGGAAAGTTTGAAATTAATTTTATTGTTTAAAAAATTGATTAAGGCACAAGTACTAGACTATGATCGAAATTCCTGACACACCCCTCAACTAAGTTAAGGTTCTATTACCCAATTTTATTTTATTTTGTAATTTTGTATCTCTTTTTAGCTTACGTGGCGTCCAAACATTCCACAGAAGTGCCACGTAAATCAAGGTGTACAAAATTACAAAAAAATAAATTCGAATACTAGGATCTTTGTTTATTAAAGGTGTATCTTTGGATTTTGATCATATAGTTTAGGAGTACTTGTGTCTTATCCAAGAAAAAAAACAAAAAAAAAGACTTATTTTCAGTGTTTTTTACTTTTGAACTATTTTTAGTTTTGAGAGTTTTTGGATAACTGTGAAAGTGTTTTTAAACACTTTTTTAAGGCCGTAAGAGTACCAAAAACTCAAAAAGTTAATAGTTTGTGTTTTCAACTTATGACTTTTAACTGATAAGACAGGAAAAATAAGTTTAATTTTAATTCAAACAAATTAAAACAGAGCGAGTAACTATTATTGACCACTACTACCACCAACCAAATATAGGAAGAAATCTCTTAGAAATGATGACATCATGTGCTTATAATTTCATTTTATGTGTCTTAATTTGACTGGATGTGGTACACTTACCTCAATTTTTGTATCTTGAGGTAATATAGGAAGTCTTTCACTAAAGATAAGCTTAAGATCGAGTTTAAGTTCTATACACCAACAAAATGATCCTACTAAATTCTTTTGAAAGCCTAGATAAATGTTGCAAGATATCTAATTTTGAAAATAAGATAAGTACCTACCATACTGAAAAAGGTGTGACATGATAGTTGAAACAGGCACATTTAAAAAAAAACGATAATAAGACAAATAAATTGAAACGAACTAAATATGATTATTTGATTTTTGTTTAGACAGACAAATCGAAACAGACTAAATATGTAATGGTGGTTGTTTTTTGTTAAGACAAACAAATTGAAACAGACTAATTATGATTATTGTTTCTTGTTAAGACAAATAAATTGAGACAAGACAAAATATGAATATTGTTTTCTGTTAAGACAAACAAATTGAAACAAATTAAATATGGTGGTTGTTTTTTGTTAAGACAAACAAATTGAAACATACTAATTATGATTATTGTTTTTTGTTATGACAAACAAATTGAAACGGACTAAATATGGTTATTGTTTTTTTTTGTCTAGACAAACAAATTGAAACAGACTAGTTATGGTTATTCTTTTTGTTAAGACAAACAAATTGAAATGAACTAACTATGGTTATTGTTTTTTTGTTAAGACAAATAAATTGAAAACGGACTAAATATGGTTATTGATTTTCGTTAAGAAAAACAAATTGAAACAGACTAAATTCGGTTATTGTTTTTTTGTTAAGACAAACAAATTGAAACAGACTAAATATGGTTGTTGTGTTTTTGTTAAGACAAACAAATTGAAACACACTAATTATGGTTATTGTTTTTTGGTTAAGACAAACAAATTGAAACGGACTAAATATGGTTATTGTTTCTTTTTGTCAAGACAAACAAATTGAAACAAACTAGTTATGGTTATTGTTTTTTGTTAAGACAAACAAATTGAAACGGACTAAATATGGTATTGTTATTTTTTTTTGTGAAGGTTCATGAGAAAAGGTCTCACTCTCATGCAAGTGATGAGGAGAAGAAAGTTACTACAAGAAAGCACAAGGCTGAGGCAGCGCCAAAGAAGTCGAAAATCGCCAATGAAGGCGAGGATAATGATAAGGTTAATGGGCGATCGAGTGTTGCGGATGTGGCAGCTGAATTTGAGAAGTTTTGTAGAGAGACAAGAGAACATCTCTCCATCAAACAAATGCGCGAAATTCTCGAAGCCAATGCCCGGGATGCTTCAATAGCTGATGAGGCTGTTGTACCTAGATGGTTTGTCACATTTATCTTTCGTAATTGTTATGCTTCTTTTGTAGTGTTTTTAAGTGTTTGAGTTGAGAGACTTTCGGAAACAGCCTCTCTACCTCCATGAGGTAGGGGTAAGGTTCGTTAAGTCGGGAAGCGGGAATAGAGATAGAATGCTACTGATAGACATTATATCATGATGTAATAGCCAACTTTAAGGTCTGTGTACACTCTATCCACTTCAAATCCCATCTATGAGATTTTACTTCATATGTTGTGTAGTTTAGTTTAACTCTATCCTCTTTCGACCTCGGACTTCACCCGTGGGATTGTGGGATTTCACGGGGTATGTTGTTATTGTTTGTTTGTTTAAGTTACGCACTCTTGGTGTGTAAGATTTTGCGCTTGGCAGGCTAGTTACCATAATTTTGGTTGAATCTTTTACACTATTAACATAGTTTTAGCTTCGTACGTTGTTACTTTCTCTAACTAGTGTGTTTTCAATTTTAGGATCTGTTCTAAAAAAGTTGACTTAGAAACTATTCAACTTTGAATTTTTCATTTTGATCTGTCGAGATACTTACTATATAGACACAAATGTTTGGTCGTAAGCTAAATTTATGTCATACGCTTTCCTTTTTAGTTTGTTCTAGGAAGTCAGACTTCCTTACTCGGAAATAATTTAGCTTTGAACTTTCATTTTGTTTGAGATATCTGTAGTCACATAAATGATTTTCACGTCGTCAAATCATGACGAGTTCGAATTGGATACAAATTTATATTTTTGGATACCTATTAATAGGATTTCGATTTACACGTTCTTATAAAAAGATTTTAAGTGTTGCAACAGTTCAGTTTATGATATGTTTTGTTACTGAACTATGCTTATTAGAGAATGTTATATGAAGTGAACTTACTGAACTATGCTTGTTAGCCAAGACATACTATTCTATGGTCCTGTCGGCGATTGTCCAGTTTGTGGTGGCACGTTGGAGTTTTCTGGCGACGGCTATCATTGCCAGGGAGCATATAGTGAGTGGTCCAGTTGTGTTTACAGCACTAGGTCTCCACCAAGAAGAGAAGAGCCTATAAATATCCCTGAATCTATTGGAAAAACTCCCGTCTACGATGTAATGTGCCAAACACTTCTTTACATTCATAACTAGCTGTATAATACAGGTACGACGATCTAAATCGACTGTTTGTTCATGTTAATATGATAGCTGATTGAGAAACATAGAGACCCGAAAAGTCGCCCCAAGCGGGAAATAGCTGTAGCAGATAAACCATTTGTAGGAATGATGATTGCTCTTTCAGGCCGTCTTTCTCGAACCCATGTATGTATATACATTTTTTCCATATATTTATGTTATTAAAGTGCGTTGGATCATTGTTTTGGTATGACATGAAGACTTCTTCTCTATAGCAATATTGGAAGAAAAAGATCGAGAAATATGGAGGGAAAGTGGCTAATTCTGTTATTGGTAATGATCCAAATCTTATGTTAATTTGATGCAATGCCTTCAATCGTAACCTTAAAAACTAAAATGGCTTCGTTATGGCAGGGGCAACGTGCCTTGTGGTTTCTCCCTCAGAGCGAGATCGCGGTGGCTCGTCTAAAGTAGCTGAAGCAGTGTATGTACTTGTAAAGAATTTTTTGCATGAATTCGATTAGTGTTGGCGATGATATCTTACAGCTAGGTGCTGTACGTTCCTCAGGGAGAGGGGTATCCCAGTAGTGAGGGAGGCTTGGCTGACCGATAGCATCAAGGAAAACCAAGCTGAAACGTTAGATGCATACGATATTGCAAGTGATATTGCGGTAGAAGGGAAAGGTCTTGCACTAGATCAGCAAGATTCCAGTGTCGTAGCACTTGAAACCTTAACAGCTGAGGTACTATTGAAAGCTTTTGAGTTCAATAGTGATTGGTTTTCTTTTTCGATTTTTTAGATAGAAACTGTACTCATTTGCCAAAATTGGTTTGACATGGTTGTAGCTAAAAGTGTTTGGAAAGAGAGGTGTGCATATCGACAGTAAGCTGCAGAATGAAGGTGGAAAAATATTAGAGAAAGATGGCATATTGTACAATTGTGCTCTCACTGTTTGTGATCAAGGGAGGAACCTGAACGAGTACGGATCAAGAACTAATATTTTCTTTTATAATTTCAAGGTAGTAACTAATAGAAATGTTTAAAATGGTGTAGCTTCTGCATTATGCAACTTATTGTGGCACGAGAGAACCGCTTGTACCTTTATTACAGAAAGGGAAAAATTGGTGACAGCCCCAGAGCAGATGACAAGCTGGAGGAATGGGAAAATGTGAACGATGCTATTAGAGAATTCGCAAAGCTCTTTGAAGAACTGACGGCAGGTCAGTTCGAACTCTGGGAAAGAGAGAAGAAGATTCATAAGAAAAATATGAAGTTCTTCCCTATTGATATAGTATGTGCTCTCTTTAACTTCCAGGAATCAAGTATATTTGGTGTTAATTCAGTTTAAAGATAACGATGTGGTGAATTGTAGGATGATGGCGTTGAAGTAAGGTATGGTGGACTAGGCCTTAGGCAACTCGGGGTTGCTGCTGCACATAGTAAGCTTGATCCGAAGGTAGCAAATTTAATGAAAGTCCTCTGTAGCCAGGAGATTTACCGGTAATGTCCTTTAAGATTACTCTTTTGTTGTTTGTTTACATGTGTACGCTTACTGTTATCTGTTGGATGAAGGTATGCTCTAGTGGAGATGGGATATGATTCACCTGAGATTCCTATCGGGATGGTTACTGATCTTCATTTGAGAAGATGTTAGTCTTTCTCGTTTTTGTGCATTCTCCGTTGGCGATTGCTATTAACATTTTAAGTAACTTTGTAACCACACAGGTGAGGAAACCCTCAAAGAATTTGTGGAGAAACTGAAATCTTCAACGGTGACGGGGAACAAAGCAGATGCCTTTTGGGCTGATTTCACCCAGAGATGGTTCACTCTCATACCGACTACAAGGCCCTTTCCCTTTAAAGACTATGAAGAACTGGCAGACCAAGTAAATTGCATATCAGTGAACAGTTCATTTTTCGTTTGCGGGTTTGAGTTCCTCTCTTATAGACTTGTCAGATGATAATATATTGATGTGTTTCTCGTATTGTGAAAATTTAGGGTGCTTCTTCTTATGAGGCTATTCGAGATATCAATACCGCCTCCCGTCTTATAGGAGATATGTCAGGCTCAACGTTGGATGATCCTCTTTTTGAGCGTTATGTGAAGCTAAACTGTTCTATTTCACCCCTTGAGAAAGAGGAAGATGATTACAAAATGATAGTGAAGTACCTGGACAAAACTTATGATCCAGTGAGAATCGGTGATGTCGTAAGATAATTTCACTCAGTCTCCACAAGTCAAGTTCATTTTGGATATTGATTTATGATGAGATATGTGAAGCTTTGATCTGAGGTGAGGTTATATATTTTCTTCAGAGCTATGGTGTATCGGTTGAGAATATCTTTGCCGTTGAAGCAAGTGCATGCCCCTCTCTTGATGACATCAAGAAATTGCCAAACAAGGTTCTGCTATGGTGTGGTAAGTAACTCTTAGATCAAGATTCGATAATAATAACAGTACGTGCATTACTTGCTCTTTACTAACAGGGACTAGGAGTTCAAATCTATTGAGGCACTTGCAGATGGGGTTCTTGCCTTCAACTTGTTCACTTCCTGTACCAGGATACATGGTATGTGCAGGCATATAAAATTTGTTTTTGTAGAAATGGCGTCAGTGTTATTTTCTGTGCTGTCTTTCTTTTCGGGTAAGAGAATACCTCTTTTGGGGTTTATATTTTGTTTCTTTGCAGTTTGGAAGAGCTATCGTTTGTTCGGACGCTGCAGCAGAAGCAACCAGATATGGATTCACAGCTGTAGATAGGCCAGAAGGTTTCTTGGTTTTGGCTGTTGCCGCACTAGGAGAAGAAATCCAAGAGTTCTCTAGTCCACCTGAGGTACTATAGAAAATGATGTTAATTGATTTTAGATTTTTCTGTTGCTGAAGTTTCTTACTTAGTATTGGACACCGATAGTCGAGGCTGGCCGTCACTATCATCCAGTGTCTTAGGCACTTGGCCATCTCTTTTCTTGTCTCAAACTAGTCGAGTAGGCAGTAAGTGGCAGTAAGTACCAATAGTCGGCTGCCGCCCCTATCATCTCGTGTCTTAGGCTCTTGGCAAAGCCTTCTTCTCGTCTCCGTGTCTCCTTTGTCTGGTCTTAGGTTCTTAGCCAACTCTTTTCTCATCTCCGTATCTCTCTTTTGGCTTGAACTTACGATTCGTGACAGCTACTCATATGTGCCAAAGTAACTTGCTCACATGCTGGGTCCCTAAACTTGCTAGCCTACTTATTAGGACTCCGGATTGACTAGGGGCTGGAGCAAGTTGGGTTGCGGTAGCTTAGCCCAAACTTGCCAACTGTTTCTTCTCTCCGAGGATGGACTCAGGGCTGGAGCAAGTTAGAGTGCTATAGAGCTGCAAGTATGGCGGGGGCTGATAAGAGGATTAAAAAAGAGGTGTTAACATCAAATTTTGTACTAAATGCAGGACACTATATCTCTGGAGGAGAAGGGGATTGGAGCTAAAGGGCTTGGCAAGAAGAAAACAGACGAGTCGGAGCATTTCGTGTGGAAGGACGACATTAAAGTCCCTTGTGGCAAGTTGATTCCATCAGAGCACAAGGAAAGCCCTCTCGAGTACAATGAATATGCTGTATATGATCCACAACAGGTACTTATAATAAGAAAAGAGGATGGTTTAAATTGAAGTTTGAAAGTTAAATATATATGATCTTTCGTTTTATCGCATAGGTAAGCATAAGGTTCTTGGTGGCGGTGAAATACGAGGAGCAAGACGTAGAGTATGAAGCAGCTGAGCTCGAGATTGAGCAGCAGTCCGAGGGATAACCAACATTATGGGAAGAAAGTGAAGGAAGACCAGAGAAAGGCTGTACATGGACATTTTGCCTTTTCTCTAATCAAGACTTCGTTATGGGATTTTGTAGTACTTTTTGGGGCATAGGATGTGGGAACTTGTGTTTGTTAAATGTTAAGTAAATCATTATGAAGTTTGTTTTTGTAGTTGTGGATGTTTGGTTCTTGATCCTGGTTAAGATGGTTGGGCACAATTTAGTGTATATATTGCAACTAAGTGCTACAGCCTACAGTATATGCTATGTTGATCAAGTGTTATGTTCTATATCTTTTTTTTTCTTAGTCCATGTGTTCTTATGATTAATATGTTTTTCTTGTTTGATCCACCAATTAGAAAGTTAAAACTATGCATGAACTAATAGTATGGGTTAGGCCAGCCTAGTTTAGCTTAGCTAGCCCAACTCAAGGTTGGACTATTTTTTTGAAGTCCATCAGAGAATGAGACCAGTGAGGCATCTTCTTTTTTGATCCATCAGTCCATCAGAGAATGAGACCAGTGAGGCATCTTCTTTTTTGATCCATCAGTGACAAAGTTTAAACTATTCATCACATGAGCTAGCAATATAGGCCAGGCTTGTTGTTAGGGTTAGGCTTTTCTGCCGGTCAATATAGGCAGTCAATTCCCTAAATAGTCACCCAAGTTTAGAGAATTGCCTTAAAATATCATTTATGTTTCATTTAGAATCACAATATCACTCAACTATTCCTATTTTCCTCCAAATATACTTGACACTTCAAAAATCTCCCTCTCTCCTAGTTGGCATGCCATGTCATTGAAGTTTTTTTTTTTAAGAATAGATTTATTTAATTCATCAAACTCATTTAACTAAAATAATTATTTTATTATTTTCTAAAAAGTATATATTAGTTTATTAAGAAGAAATTTTCATGCTTAAGAATCTTTTATCATAATTATTTTTTTGTTTTTTTATGCTATGAGGAATAGTTTTTAAAAATTTACTATAATGTCATCAATTTTGAATACTTATAAATACATATATTCAAAAAATATTGATATATAAATTACTCATGAATGTCAACTTACATCAATTGATCATATATTATATAATGGATCAATAATATTAAAGGTCAATTAACTAATAAAAATAATTAATTGGGTACTTTGAAATCCATACTTACAATATCTTTTTTTGAAAAAAAAATAGAAAGTGAGTAATATTTATATTAGAAAATAAAATTTTGATCTTTATTTATCAGTATATTAATCTCATACAATATGTATATTATTGAATTAAAACATGCAATTCAATTAATTATTACTTGTATTTCATGAATTTGGGATGAGATGAGAATATATATTGGTGTTTAATTGTATGATAAGTTAAAATATAATATAATATAGCACGAATAAGAATAAAAAATTAAATTAAAAATAAATAAATAATAGTTTTCTCTTTCTTACCAACTTTTTGTCAACCTTACAAATTTATTTGAATACTTTTATAAAAAAAATTGCTTAAAATTTTCTAATAATTTACTTAGGGATTTTAAAAATTACCAAGTAATAATTGCACACAAAGTTTTTTTTCATTGAATTTTGTTTGGTAAAATAATATAAAGGAATTAGTTTTTTTAATTTTTTTTTTTTATAATCTTCATAAACGCTCATGTAATTTATATATTTGCCTTGTAGAGACATAAGTTTGATGAATTAAATAGGTCTATTATTTTTTAAAATGATGATTTAATAACAAGACATATCAACTAGAATAGAAGGAGATTTTTGAGATATTTAGTATTTATTTTTTTGGATAAAAAACAGCCATAATATTATTTACTTTCTATTTTTTTTCAAGAAAAAAATATTGTAAGCATGAATTTCAAAATTCACAATTAATTTTATTGTAAAAGTTAATTGACATTTAATATTATTGATTCATTGTAAATTTTATGATTAATTGATGTAAGTTAGCATTCATGAGTGATATGTATATCGTTTTTTTTTTTTTGAATGTATATGTTTATAAGTATTCAAAATTGATGATATTATAGTACATTTAAAAAACCTATTCTTCATAACATAAAAAATAAAAAGTTTAATTATAATAAAAGATTCTTAAGTACGAAGTATTCTTAATAAACTAATATATATATATATATTTTTAAAAATAATATGATTATTATTTTAGTTATATTGTTTAATGAATCAAATTAATCTATTATTAAAAAAAAGACTTTAATGACATGTCATGTCAACTAGGAGAGAGTGTGGCTTTTAAAGTGTCAAGTATATTTGAAGGAAAATAGGAATAGTTGAGTGATATTTTAGTCCTAAATGAAACATAAATGATATTTCAAGGCAACTCTAGACGGTTAATATGGGTTAGGGTTAGGCTTGTTCGACCGGTTAATATGGGTTAGGGTTAGGCTCGATCAATATGTAGGCACGCACATATAGGGTTGCTCGGTCGGTTAATATGGGTTATGTAGGCGGCTTGTTCAGTCGGTTAATATGGGTTATGTAGGCACATATTAGGCTTGTTCGGTCGGTTAATATGGGTTAGGGTTAGGCTTGCCGGTCAATATGTAGGCTTGTTCGGTCGGTCAATATAGGTTAGAGTTAGGCTTGTCAGTTGGTCAACATGGGCTAGGTTAGGCTTGTTTTGTAGGCACATATTAGGCTTGTTCGGTCGGTTAATATGGGTTATGTAGTCACATATTATGTAACACCCCTAATTTCTAACCAAGAGTCGCATGTTAATACACCATTGCTTAATTACTACAATATATTTTATTCTCATTTTGGGAACTTGAATTTTTGTGATATTTGAAAACTTTATTAACATAATTGTGATCGTAATTTAAGGGATTGTGTTGGGGTATTTACGTAATATTCTAATTAGGATTACCTATAACTTGAAAGGGTGGTAGGTATATACATATATGTATATATGTATGCATTTTGGGCAGCACACTTTTTATTTGGGCAGCACCTTTGAAGGACAATTGTATAAGTGATAAACATCACTTTTGTGACTATATTTTCACACCTCCTTTAGTGAAATTCATTTCCCTGAAGTCTAAGAACCTTAGAACTTTATCTAAACAGATTGTTCTTCAAAATCACAAGAGAAAAACTTGGTCCTTTTGGTTGGAATTCGAGACACACCCTTCCCTTTGGTAAGTGATGAAATTTGTTTTCGAGCTGGGTCGTGTTTAGTATTTTAAGCATATATCGTTATTTAGAACTTAGTTTATAGTGAATAAATATGATTTGAAAATATAATTCATATACCTATAACTCTTATGTTTATGTAAAACTCTAATTTAGTTGTTATGGATTCGAAATATGGGATGCAACATAGGACAAGTTCTGTCCAGATCGGAATTAGAAATCATGTATGATCAACTGTTAGTGTTTTGATTATATCTTTTTTTACAAAATATATTTTGCGGTGATTCTTGATTATTTGCAACCTTAAGAGACGTACCCACATCTTTCATGAAGGATATAAAGTCCAGTTTTTCTGTTTTTCTTTTCAAAACTAAGTTGCGACTTGAGGTACCAGGCTGGACAGATTCACTATTTTGGGTGTATAGTTGTATTTGTACATGCTAGACTTACTTGTGATAATGATCCTGTTTTACGTCAACATTTTGAGCTAATAGAAGTTATTTAATTATTATTTTAAGGTTATATATACTCGTGTACAAGTTGAGGACCTTGAAACGCTGGTCGGTCTACGGTTTGAAATCTTGAAGTTTTGTTGGACTGTTTCTATGCTAAAACCAGAGGTTTGTGTATAAGCTTGTACTTGTACTCTTGTTATCTATTTTTATATTTGAAGGGTTATGTCGATACCTTGGTTACTTCTTATCACGTTGTACTGTCGTATTGGTATTCTCTGAGACTTTCAAGACACTTGTGTAACTCGCCCACTTGTACGGATTGCTTGATCACCTGGCATTCTTGTTGGGACTTTGTCCTTCTTGTGGATTTGATTTTGTCACTATTGACATGCCGATTGATTTGGATTATTTTCCATCTTGACTCTTGATTTTTGGTTCGTCTTAAGTATGGAAGTTGTCCATTTTAAGTATAAACTAGGAAGCCATTTCTAATATGGTTCTTGATTCTCTTGATTATTGGGTTTCGACCTTTCTTGATACAAGGCTTCGGTCCTTCTTGATACTTGATTATGTTGGGTGTGACGGTATGATGTATATATTGGGCGAGCTTTGGTATTGAATCTCTTGGGAAATGGTGCTATGAACATTCTTGACATTTGGATCTTTAAATATCAAACTTGATACTCTTTATATATTGTTTACTTGATTTATTTATTATGTTTCAATTGTGCTGCCCATGACTTTTGAAAGGTAACTTGGTGAATCTATCGGCTCCATGCATATAGTTTTTACACCACTAAGTTTTATGCTTAGCGATAGTTATTTTTATCATAGGGAACGTTCGAGGGGATACTTGAAGCTGGTCATTGGAGACAGAGTTTTTGAGAGCTTTATGGGAAGATCACATTTGCATATAGGCATCTATAATTGCATAAATCTTGGGACTTGTACATGATCTATATGTTGTACATTTACATGAAAATTTGAAGGCTAATTTGATCATGTCACCATGGGTTGTAAATTAAGTATGACTACATGTTTTACCGTTTTGGGTGTGTAAACCCAAGTCTTGTAATGTATTAAATTTACAGTTTATTTTGAAGGTTTGTATGAAGCATAATTTACAAAAAAAAAGGGACTTGTTTCGAAAAATCGACCAAACTTATGACTTGCAAAGAAATCGATTGTCCAAAATAGAGTCACCAATTAATTTTTTTAATAAATTAAGAAAACTTATAATTTTTTTCAAAAAATTTAAACAGAATAAAATCGTTTGAAATTTAAAAGGGTTCGGGGTTCAATTTACATTCTGAGAAGGTGTTAGGCCCTTAAAATGTCCGTTAACTTGCGGTTTACCAACGATTTGACTAAACATTTGACTA